TTTCCTTATTATTTTTCATATCTGTATAAACAAGTTTACATATTAAAGCACTGCAAATATACCAGCAGAAATACTCTTCACATGTGTACATGAGTAAATGGAACATATGTTTTAGAGTACCTAAAAAGATAGGAACAAAAAAAGAGAACATCATAAATTTGAGGTACCGATCAATGTTACTCAACAGAGCTCTGCTACATAAAACACTGTTCCGCTTTTCCATAGTACTTGAGTATGTTGATTGCATTCAGTAGTATTTGAAAACTTCATAGGAAGTATAAGAATACTTATGAAGTTTTTTCTTTTAAATGTTAGCATTTAACATAATGTTAAGAAAATACATACATTTTATTTTTATTCCAGTATATACTTAAAATATTGTTTTACATTTCTGGCCGGACGCTTCAATGTTTGCAAAAAAGTTCGAATCTTTCATACATATACAATGATTTATGTACATATGTACATATTATGTAAATTTTTTTTTAATATCGAAAAATGTCTGCCTATTTTCCCGCGACCTTTCTTTATGGCCAGTTTTTATTTTCAAATTGATATTTTCCCAATACCAGGCGCTCATAAATGTGAAGTAACAAGTTTTCTATTTCTAAGCAGAAAATTGTTTGTATAAATTTTTAAATTTCCAAAATTCTACTTTGTGAATTTCCAAAGGCTTCTACAAACGAATTAAAATCTTCTACAGACAAATGTATGCGTATGGAAAGCTTGCTACTTCATATGTATGTGCGCCTGGTTTGGGAAATGAAACTATCGTATTGTACAAATAAAAATTGGTTCTTTGTATAAAATGAGTCCACTTTCTTTATAAAAAATATGCTGTTGGCTAAATATTCGGAGTACCCTACGTTGTTTCTCCATGTTTGCTATTTAACATAAGAGTCAGCTCTAACATTAACATTATGTAGCATTAAACGACAACTTCCAAAAGTACTCAAAAAATACTTGTGAAGGAACATCTTTTTTGTGGAACTTTAACAGCATGGTACTGCTGATTTATGTTCCTCTTTTTTTCGGAACATAGTTTGTTTGAGTACTTTTTTTTATGTATACATCGCTCAATATCTTCACTTCTCTTCCTTCCATGCCCTCTTTGTTAGATTATGAGTAGTATACATATTTGAAAAAAACTTCACTGTGAAGCAAACTGAATTCCGATGCAGACCTTTATTACATATAAATTTCTAGTCGTTATTGTTTTTATACTGGCACAAAGTGCTGGCTCATAACTTGAATAATATATGACTCCTAAAAGATTCATATAAGGGTAAACAAATTTTTGTTTTTGAAACTCATATTTCTTACATACCTAGGACTCCTTTCTGACTCATATATTCTGAGCGCTCAGAATATGTTTGCTCAGAATATGTATGAGACTCAACAAAATGAATAAATAATTTGTTTGGTTGCCACGGAAACACATTCATATGTATGTTTCTTTGATGTTTTTTCTTTGAAGTGCATCTTTTATTAAACAATAAATATTTTTCATAAATATACATCACAATTCAGGAAGATCTTCAAGCCATGGTGAAGAGTAAGTGTAAAAAAAATCCCCTATTCAATCGCACTAAACACTTTATGCGTTTCAAAATAAACAGTTACTGAGGCATTGGTGCGCAAGAAATCCGAGCATAATGAGTGTCTCATCAGTACGTTGGAAGAACTCTCCTTGCATCAAGAGGACATAGAACGAATCGAACATCTGCAAAACTGGTGTCGGGATTTGAAAATTTTGCTGCTACAATCAAATCTCATTTCCAAAATAGAGAATTTGCACAAATTGAAAAAATTGGAATATTTGAACTTGGCCATTAATAATATCGAGCGTGTGGAAAATCTGGAGCAGCTCGAGTCGCTAACCAAATTAGACTTAACTTTAAATTTCATTGGCGAATTAACTTCCATCGAATGCTTGAAAGGAAATTATAATCTACGCGAATTAATACTCATTGGAAATCCCTGCTGTGATTACCCGCACTACAGAGATTATGTAACGGGTACGCTGCCACAGCTGAATAGCCTGGATTGTGAAGAAATCAAAATGTCACAAAAGTTACAGGCGCAAAAGACATTGAGTAGCCATCGTGCTGTTATTGTACAAAAACAAGCAAACTATTTCATTGAGCGAGATGAGCAAAAGCTGCGAGTGGCACATAAAAAGACAGAACTGGAAGCTGAAATGGCGGAAGTCGATGATGAAGATAGTCGCATCAAGATGTTCTGGGATGCTAAAAGTGAGCATTGTCCCGAGACACGCACGGATATAGCAAAGTATCACAAGCTCGGCAGGGAGAAGAGGAACACCGAGCAGCATGATAAGAAAATGCATAGAACGCCAGCACTATTTGCACCATGCGGACGACCGTATAATTTGAATCAAGCGAAATTACCATTCCATTTGAGCGACGAGTACAATGAATACATGTTGCAGCTGGGTATATACAAGTAAGTGTGCTTGGTTTATTCTGATTAGTCGTTTAGTCTCGCTCAGCGTAGATGATGGTAGGCAGGGTAATGCGAGTGCAACAATATCAGGGTCATTGTCTGGGGCGGAATGATTCCAACTCAGGACAAAAGACCTAGACAATAGGGTTTCACCTAGACAATAGGGTTTGGGGGATTTGACACTTCGGATATGAGTTGATCATAAATCAAATGCCATTAAGTAGGACGACAGACTATATGGTATGCAACTTCGATTTCAGCTGTAACATGCAGGTGTTATTCCCATCCGGAAGGGACGGATCCAAGATGGATTGCGGTGTGGGAGCGGGAGTCTGGTTGGTTGGTTGGTAGAAGCGTCGCCTGGGTACATTCGCAGGACCCAATTAGTGCTGAAAGCACCATTTTAATACGCTTTCTCTGGACACCTGATTTTATCTGCTTTCATGATTCGTTGGGTTCGTCAAACCATTAGGATTTTCCAATGAATTTCTTTAGGTTAGTAATGGTAAATTTGGAAACTACCCCAAGATTTTGGATGGAAAAACTCCCGCCTTATTTGTGCCAATGCTGGGCACTCGCAAAGATAGTAAAGGACCGTCTCTTTACTTCCCACAAGATTATAGCTACGGCACCGAGGGTTATACGGAAGGCCAAGGCGGGAGTCTACTCCGAGAAACTCGGCGTGGCTCTGTATCTACGGTTGGTAAATGATACACGCTTTTTCCAAGTGGAAGTTCTAGGGATCACAGAAGCCTGTAAAATTCTAGGCAATAGAGTCTCTTGACAATAGCGTCGGCGGTTACCAAATCATGCTAGTAAGGGACTGCAAAGTGATACTGAGCTCAGTGTCTCAGTCAACTACCTTCTCTTTTGTCTGGGTTCCCGGACATAGGAGCATAGAAGGCAAATTAGCTGGCGAAGGCATGAGCCGGGGTGGTTGAATCTCAAGCAGTGACACTGTTGCCCCTTGGCATAGTCCAAAGAGATATTATAACGTATTTCCTTGAACTGGCTACTCGAAGGTGGTCAGATATAAAGACTTGTAAGAAATCAAGAAAACTAGATATGGCCTGACTATAACAGGACGAAGACCTTGGGCTTGCTTAGCAGATGAAGGCTAGAGTTACTCAGAATTGTAGCAACATAGGCAAACAGGCGGCAAAAATAGGTCAGCCCCATAATATGATTTTCCGCAGCTGTCAACTAGACGATAGCGAAGAAAGTGTCCAGCATTTCCTTTTTGAATGTCCAGGCCTTTCGAATATTAGACACAAAATATCTGGTAGCACGACTAACCCACCTATCATAGCGAAATTGATAGTTTCATTAGTGGTAGCGCGCACTGCTAATCACTACACCACCGCGGCCACAAGGTGGTAAGTTACTAAAAAAAAAGAATTGTAGACAAGTTTATACTTTTGATAAGGTGCTATAAAGATTTTGTCTGAGAATTCACCTATTGCCATTTTATTCAGACTTTCCAAAAAACGATCATAACGTGAGAGATCTAATGGGTTTAAATGGTCAACGAAAATATTGCTCGTAAAATTTTACTACTATATATGTACATATGTATCCAAACTACATATTTGCTCCGTGATAAATTTGAACATTTTTTTTTCACTAATTCTAAAAAAAA